CACATGAAGTCACGCGCTGGAAAAGAGTGGGAAAGAGGCTCAGAAGCACGGCAGCTCGCCATGTTGCGAGACTCCGTACAACGCATCGGCGGAACTTGAGGCCGTTCGGCAGTGCTGGAACGCTACGTGAAAGGTTACAAGCAGCAGGGGGGATAGCCCCCCAATGCACCTACAAACTGGAAAGACGATTGGGCCAGGACACGGCCAACGGAAGTACGTGCATGAGAGTGGAGCCCGTGGACGCGCCAGACACCGACACGAGCCACATGCACGTCGCCGATATCACATGCACACGGTCCGCACAACGCGAGCGCCGTTCGATGTCGCCTCTTCTCCGGCGCACGGAGCACAACTAGCCTTTGCTCTCGTGCGACACGTTGGAGTACTGGCGAGTGCGTGCTAGACACCAGCGTTAACAAAGTACGTCGTGTCGCCGCAGTGTGTGGTCCAAGTGTGCGATCAACGACGATGGAATCACGCTTCACGCTTACTGCGACACGGGAGCAAACAAATCGTCGTCGTCCGCATCAAGTCGCAAAGGTGGATGCCCAGTGACTGAGCTAGACATCATCCTACAGTTGACCAAGCACCAGTTGGTCTTGCCGCTGGTTTGTCAAACCCGACAGTTCGGCGAGGCAATTCGCAATTCTCCATGCCGGTGCCAAGCTCAACCGTGTGCGCCATCGTAACAAGATGGGCTGACGAGCGAGGCATGACGATACCCCAAGGCACGACCTTCAACGACGCAGACTCTTTTGATGCCCTCAGTCTCTACGAGGCAATCAGTGGATGGTCACTTCCTGCGTCTTTATTGTTAGACTTCAAAACTTTCATCACGCGGCCCGCGCCACCAGTCTGTACCATGCGTGAACGAATGCACATCACGCTCGGCCCTGTATTCCGTTCAAGGGTGACTTTCACTGGAAATGAGACGGCAGTGTGCGCAAGTCGATCGTTGCCACGACAAGTCGAGTTGTGGACGTTGGACGATTTGCCGGAAATTCCCACAGATCGCTTTGCTGGAATGCCAAAGCAATCACTGGGTGAAGTCAATGCGTACAGCAAGCGAGAGTCGACAATCTGTACAGGTGAAGTAGAAGTATGCAGCCTTTTCTTCAGACTGTTGCTGTATGTCAGCGAATGCATTGGCGGTGATGTATTCGATGCCACTGGCGCCAAAGTCGAGATCGTGGGTCTGCCGGATTTGGTGGTGTGGCAGTCGCCGACAACAACGCTGGCTCTTGTGATCGAATGCAAGACTCCATGGGCGCTTGATGTTGGTGTCGAGGCGCAACTCGACGACATCTACAACTCGCACAGAGAACACCATGCGACGTGGTCGGCACCACCACCCGACAAGTCGATGGAAAGTCCAATGGAGTGGACCATGCCACGCAAAGTATTTCACGCCATCCGACAATTGTACGGGTACATGTCGTTCAACAAACGGCGCTTCGGCATCCTCACCACATTCACGACAACGTACCTCTTCAAGCGAGATGACGAAGGCAAGCTCTTCATTTCCAAGGGCATCGCTGCCAACCAACTCGTCCCGCTGACACTCCT